GGAGGCAGGGAGGGAAGGAGGGGAGGGAGGGAAGGAGGGGAGGAGGGGAGGAGGGAGGGAAGGAACCCAAGACCACACCGTGCGACTCCACGGGCTCAGTCACAAAGAAACACCATCTTCAAAAAAGATATTTAAGTTTAATACAAATTTTATACAAAGAAAATGTGAAAAAATACTTCCATATGCTAAAAGCAATTATGCTTCACAAATAAGGCCAGCTAGGCTATTTTTTTTTTTTTTGACAACTGCAATTCACAAATGTTCTTTCTCTCCTGCTTTCTTCTAATATCTGTTCTTCTTTCTTCTCTAATGTGGGTGGCTAGCTGGAAACCGTACAGCCAGCATCCTCTTATCAACAATGAAGAGAAAGTAAACGAGACTAAAATGTACAACAGAATGTACTGGAATGATATCGTACAATTAATATTCTCATATACATACATCACCTTTTGCTTTGATCAATGCTTTTTGTTTTACACAACATACAAAATGGTACTACAGCTTACGTAGTGTAACAGACAGCATGGCGGTCTTGCTTTCTCATACTGCCACTGTTTCATGCTTACATAAAAACGCAGAGCTCCATCATATAAATAATACACACATGCTTCCTCGGATGCACGCTCCTCGGTGTGCATCTGCCTTTGAGTTCCTGCTTCTAGGAGCACAGCATCTCCTCCCGTGGGTGAGTGAGTGTCCAAAGGAACCACAAACAAGAAAAGGTTTCTCTTTGCTGCCGAGTTGAGTTGGTGCCGAGCTGGGCAGGGCTCACTAGCCTCCGAGCATCTTCTGTAAACAGGATGTTGATTTTCCCTTTTAGGAGCCACCACTTCAGCCACACAGAATAAACGGCCCCTGCCCCATGGCTCCTGGTCTGCAGAGCCTGCGTGGCAGGACACAGTGACGTGGGCATCCGCAAGGGGCCACTGGCCTGGCGTGCCGGGTCCCCACGGCAGAGCTGGGCTGGAGCTCCTGACCCAACCAACGTGCTGTGGACAGACACCGGACAGCGCTGGCTTCCCCAGGGGCCGAGGGTGAGGCCCGTGCAGCAGCAAGCCCAGGCCCGGCCAGGACCACTGTGCCCCCGGCCCGGCCCAGGAGCGCGTGCCCGTCCGCCTCCGCAGCCAACATTCCTTTCGTTGTTGGGTGTTTTTTTTTTTAAACTTGTTTTTCTTTTTTTATAAGTTAAAGTCGATACAAATATAAAAAGGGAAGGTGCTCTAGGTCAGTGACATCCACAAATTGTACAGTATTTACACCTACAGCAGCCGCCCCTCCCGCGGGCGCTCGCGAGGGCCTGGACGCGTGGGGGCTGCCCGCGGCGCCCGCAGCGGTCCTTCTCCGCCTCCGCCGTTTCCCTCCGCCGTTTCCCATTTTCCTGGTGCCCGCGTCCTCCCCGTGGGACGGGCGGTCTGGTCACAGCTTGCCCCTAGTCCCAGAAGGCGTCGAGCCGAGACTCTTTCGGGATGAGGCTCTTGGCGCTGGAGCCGGCGCCGAGCTCGGAGCGGGCCGACCCTCGCTTCTCTTCGCCGCCGCCCCAGCAGCTGGACTTGCTACTCCGGGAGTGGTCTGCGGGGGGAAGGCACCGGTCAGCACCCCTGCCCGCTCCGCCGGCCACGCGCTCTCCCAGCTGGGGAGCCACCTTCGCCTCCCCACCCCCTACGATGGACGGTCCAGATCCCGCCACGTCCGTCTCCCCCAATCTGTGGCTCTCTAGAATACAGAGGTGGAACTTAGGACCTCTACTTAGGAGTTTTAGGACTTAACACAGCTGGCTGCAAAATCAGTAGGGAGTCAAGGATGAAGATCACTGGGGCAGGGCTCAGTCGCCCAGGAAGACTGAGCCAGACCTGTACCCTCACTAGGGCCCGGGCTCCCCTGCGTCCAGGCTCAGCCGGGGAGGCAGGCCCTGGGGACTGGCGGGCAGAGTGCTTCCCCCCGCCGCCGTCCTCGAACCTATCTAGAGGCAACTGGAAAAATAAGACCCATGACCAAATCACAAGTGTCCACCCAAGGGGAGGATCATAACAAAGGACAACTGTGGACCAGAGGGCTAAGCCCACCTGGACGCACAGGCCCAATGGGGTGTCTAAAAAGGATGCAGAACCAGAGCGAGACCTAGGATGGCTTCAAGGACACACAGACACAGCACTAGGAAGGAAGCTGAGTGACAAGCAGTGACAGAAGAGTCAGAGAGGAGCCAGTGACGGCCCTCCTCCAGCAGTCCAGCTCTGCAGGCTCCGCGGCCAGCAGCCAGCTCCCGCATGCCTCAGGTCACTTACCAAGTTACTACGTTCAGGCAGATTTTTTTTTTTTTTAAGCATTCTTGAGGTGAGGGGAGGACACTGGGCTGGAAGGGGTCGTGGATCAAGCTTAGAGGCAGAATCGGGTGGCTGAGGAAGGGACCCTGCTATTACCTAACGGGGCTGCAACTCTTAGCGCCTAGCAAGAGGCACGTGAGGTAAGCTGGGAGCTCTGTTTCTGGAAGACAAGGGGCAGGAGGGTCGGATGGCAGGCGGGTGTCACCAGGAGAGAACTTATTGGCAACTCGTGTGGCCGGCCAGAAGGGGGCAGTGTTGTGGCGGGCAGAAACGGGGCTGGGGGTGGGGCCTTGATCTTCTGGCCCCTCCCCACTAGGCGTCCCTGCCCTTGGAGCTCTTCTGGAGCGTCCCCAGGGGGTGCCGCTGCTGGTCATCACTACACATGAGAAAAGTCCCACAGGGCAGTCACCCTTGCGGCTCTGGTGACAACTGGGACCAGCTGGGGTCCTGGAAGACCGGGGCAGGGGGCCGGGCGCAGCAGGGCCACAGGGCCGGGGGGAGGGGGCGGAGGGAGCTGAGGCCGGTGGATGCTGACCCTCCAGAAGCCCAGCCCAGCCCAGCCCAGCCGGCTCTCGCCCTGAAGCAGCGGGCAGTGCCCTCGAGAGGTGCCACTAAGAAGAAAGTTGCAGAGCGAGGGGAGCCCACGCGACAGGACAGGAGGACACGGCCACAGAGAAACACGGACACACACAGGACGAGGCTTGGCGAGCCGAGCTGGCCGCGGCTGGACAGGGTCATACTTACACTTCTGGGCGGGGTAGTTGGGGTGCGGCTGGTGGTCTGTGGTGGTTGGGGTGGAGGCAGGCTGCTTGTCACACCTTTTGCTAACTGAAGAGACACCAAGGCAGCTCAGAGTCGGTCCCGGCCGGTTCCGCACAACCCCCGAGGGCGCTAGCTGCTCCTGTGCTCCCACCCGGGCCACTGCGGCCTTCAAACACGTGATCAAACCCCAAGAGGACCACTGCACACAGCACACGCCACAGGCGGGGGACAAGGCGCACAGTAACGGAAAGCCACCGGCACTTGATAAGCCCCAGGGTGTCCAGATTTTGAAAGCAAAATCCTCAAAACCACCTGCTCTGCTAACGGCCTAATCCAACAAGGAGACAGGCAGGCGCTGGGCGCCATGGGAGGAAGGAAGCATCCGGGTCGGTGAACACAGTGGTGACCCGGCCAGGCGCAGGGAGGGGTGGAGGGCGCTGGAGAAGCTGGGGGCAGGGGCCAGGGTTGCAGAGGGGCAAAGCCACTCCTCGCCCACAAATCAAACCTGCAGCCGAAAGAGGCGAAGAGTGGAAGAAAAGGGTCTCAGGGACATAGCTGGCGTGGTCAGGAGTTTGGTGGAAAAAACTGAAAATAAGATGGGGGGGGGCGCCTCCAGGGGCAAGGAAGCCTGAGAAGGAAACGGACCCCAGCAGACCAGGGACTCCCCGATGACCCCACCACCCCAGACCTGCAGGTGGCCACTGTCCCTTCAGCTTTGCAGACTCAGATGGACAAAAGGAGACTTGACCACGATTACAGAGCAGATGCTCCGGTCCCCAAAGGGTATGAAGGGAAGGAGGGGGAAGGAGATGGGGGTCAAGTGGGGTCAGTGGACGGTGCCTCCAGCGGCAGCACAAGAAGAGGGGGTGTTGAGGACATGGCCTGCAGGGTAGCCCCCAAGTAGTAGCCTAAGTGACACTGGAGGAGGAAGTCACAAGAGGACCTCACCCTTGCCTTTTGTCTAAAAATCAAATCAAGAAATGGAGGTACAGGAGAGGATGTTAATAAGAACCAGAACCAGCAGGAGACGGCTGGGGAGAGACCCCGGCTCTAGTTCCTATTCCCCTCTGTCGGCCCGAGCAGCTGCTTTAGGTAAAATCTTTTTTTTTTGTATTGAGAGACATGGTCTCACTAAGTTGCTGAAGCTGTCCTTGAACTTGTGATCCTCCTGCCTCCTCCTTCCAAGTCACTGGGATTACAGGCCTACGCCACAGCACCAGGCTCGGGTGACGTCTTAAAAGATGAACAGGAGAGGGGCTGGGGTCGTGGCTCAGTGGTAGAGCGCTCGCCTAGCATGCGTGAGGCACTGGGTTCGAGCCTCAGCACCACATAAAAATCATTGTGTCCACCTACAACTAAAAAATATCTATTTAAAAAAAAGAAAAATATGAACAGGGGAGGCCTATGCCACCTACCAAGGGAGCTCATGCCCCTACTTAAACCTCTCCTTCCACAGGGACTCCTCAGTCCCCCCCCACCCCCGCACAGGTACTGGAGACAGCTCAGGTGCCCCCTGCACGGTCCACCTCCTGCACGGTCCACCTCCTGCACTGTCCACCTCCTGCACTGTCCACCTCCTGCACTGTCCACCTCCTGCACTGTCCACCTCCTGCACATCTCCCATGCACTGACCAGCTAGCCAGATGGGTGAGGGGGCTGGAGATGAGAGTCTTGCTGCTCTGATACAACTCCTCAGCACACGTGGCTTTGGGAAGAAATGAGCGCGCTCAGGTCTGCAATCCCACAGGGCCACGGCCCATGGCCCTGCTGCTCAACACGCAGATGTCACCAGTGCCCTGGCGCCAAGTACTCCTGTCCTTCCATTTTGACAATGAACCCTCTGGTTAGTACTCCTCCTCTGCCAAAATACTTTTTTTTTAAATTTTAAAATTAAAATTAAAAAAAATTGGGGGGTGAGGGTGTTGGTGGGGCTGGGGACAGAACCCAGGTCCTCATGCATACAGGGCAAGTGCTCCACAGTGGAGCCACACCCCTGCTGCCCTTGCCCAGTCTCTTTCCAAGCCGTAAAACGGGGGACCACATCTCCTTCAGTGTAGTCCCAATCTTCACAAAAAAACACCTGGGGGAAGGCCCCTGTAGACATGGAAGTCCTATGAGTCACACCCCCAGCCCTTTTCTATTTTGAGACCAGGTTTCACTAAGTTGCTTAGGGCCTTGCTAAATTTTGAAGCTGGCCTTGAACTTGTGATCCTCCTGCCTCAGCCTCCGAGTTGCTGGGATTCACAGGTGTGGATCACTGTACCTGGCAGAGCTACTGTTAAGTCAACTAAAGTAAAATATATGAAACTCCACTCCTAGTCACAGCTTGAGGGTCCCACAGCCACAGGGATTAGTGGCCACCAGTGTGCACAGTGCAGACACGGCCTTCAGGGTACAACATTCCATCGGCAACGCGGGCGGTGGAGGAGGGAGCACGGAGAGAGAGAGAGAAGCGTATTTAACCGCCTAGGGAAGGAGGCAGCTGAGCGGAAAATCTGGCTATGACAAAGGACAAGAAGCAAGAAGCGGTCAGACGCTGAAGGTGGCCAGGAGGGAAAGGCAGAGTGTGTCCCCCATGTCACACGGGGGGCAGCAGGAAGGACAAGTGGGGTCTGAGAGGGAGCAGGGAACGAGGTGGCCTGTGCAGGGCGGAAGGGGGGCTGATGAAAGGGGTTTGGAGGGAGGATGGGGCGGATGAGGAGCTGTGCTTCTGAGGCCAGCGGTCAAGATTAAACGGGCCATGGGACAGATCTGTGGTCCTGGGGAACTTCCTCCAGCTGCGCCGAGGCTCGGGTGCAGGTGAGGAATCACAATGCCTCGCTGAGAAAACAGAACGGCCGGGGCGCCCGGGTCCTCTGAGCAAGACTGTGGCTCAGGGCTGGACCCGGACACCAAGCCACGCAGGCCACGTAGGAAGAAGGAGCAGGGGAGCGGGAGGAGGCGCACACCAAGACCAGGGCCGCGTCTGCGGTCCCTGTGACTGAGCCCCACACGCACGACACTACCACTTCTGACTTCCAACAGCAGTGCTTTGGTCTGGGGTCACCTGAGTCCTGGCTCGGCAAACACTCTCCAAGTGACTCGGGCCTCCGGGTTGGCTTCTCTGGGCCTTGCAGGACATAGCGACTTCTCCCCCAGGCACTGGGCGTGACCAGGAGTGCAAGTGCCTCCTGTCCTTCCGGAAGCACCAGTGAGCACTCCTCTGCCATCCTCAATGCGCCAGAAGGGGCTTTACCGCCCGGCTCAGGTCCCCCACTGGCAGCAGCCACAGGCTCCCAAGTGATCTTCCTTTCACTTCCCCAGATCCCACGATGCTTCAGCCCTGCACAGCCCAACGCCTGCTTCTGCACTTCCAAACTCATTAGCACACACCCACACACCCACACACCCACACACACCCTCCCATGGGTTCTGTGTCATCTCAGGCCTGCTTTCATGCTACCACGGCTGAGCGAAGCAAATGGACAGAGACCACGGAGCCTGCATTTACTCTCTGACCACCTACAAAAAGGCCCTCCAGCCCTGACCACTCTCTCCTGGCCACCGTGCCACATGCCATCCTTATTCTGGCAGATCCCACACACACAGCGTCACGAGTCTCCCCGGGCCACCTCCGTCAGCACCTTGCAGATGCAGAACCTCTGAACGGCACCGGCTGTGGGCAGCAGCACTCTCCAGCCTGGCCCTCCTCATGCGCCCCCTCGCTCTGTCACACCCACAGTCCCCTCACAGGCTGCTCAGTTCCTATTTTAAGCTCATTTTTTTTCAACTTCGATTCCAAAAGAAGCTTTTATCATTGCAACTCGTTCAAATTACCGTCATGAAAGCCAAGCTGCAGGGCGATATTCTGGGGCTACCACGCCACTAGACCTGAAGTCGCTCTGGCTCTGTTCTGAACCGATCCGAGATGCCGTGGCATCTTAGTGCCACGCTGTGCCGTGACTGGAGGTTCCCTCTGGGGACCACAAGGGAGCATGAAGGGCGGTGCTTTTTTTTTTTTTTTAATATTATTTAGTTGTCGATGGGCCTTTATTTTATTTAACGCGGTGCTGAGAATCGAACCCAGGGCCTCACACAGGCCAGGCTAGTGTTCTACCGCTGAGCCACGATCCCAGCCCCAGGGCGGTGCTTTTTTGACGGCACTTCAATCAAATCCAAGGCCAAGTTCACGTCCTCCCTAGACTCACTCCTGCCACTCCACCATCTCCACCATCCAGTTCCCACCGGCCCTTCCAGGCCTGGCCTCTGGGGAACCTTGCCCACCTGACCACAGACACTGCTTCCTCTAAGCGCTCGATGTGCACAAGTGACATTAAGTATGTGCTCTCCAGCTGAAGAGAACCAGCAGGCAGAATGGCCCTGGGTGAAAGGTTATAGGCAAGAACCCTGAACTCAGCAAGACGGTCCTCAACAAGCCAGGCCTGGGTCTGAGCCCACCTGCAGTGGCCAGAACTGGTTCAGGAAAGTGTGGGGAAAAGACCACGGGGCCGAGAGAGAAGGGCAGCCGGAACCCCAGGAGAGAAACCCACACGGCTCAGTCCCCAAACAGCCTGCCAGAGGGATGATGGCCCAGAAACACGCCCCCTCCACACTGTCTTCACCCCAGGACCCTCCGGAGCTGACTTTACGGGGCTCTGCTTACCCTGGCATCTCCCAGGGCAGGACCCTGTGTCCAGATAGTGTCACGTGGGCCCCGGGAAACAAAACGCAGGTAGATCCTGACCAGCGCGGAGAAGTGCGGGGAAACCGCCTCGCCCAGCCACACCCTCACCCCACAAGCCCGCCCAGCTGAGGCACCCCAAAGATCCCTAACAGCCTGAAAACCACGGCCCTAACCCTGGCTCCCTGACAAGATGGCTCCCAACCTGCCCACATGAAATGAAAGCGCCATTCGCCCACCAGGGGGCGACATACCAGAGCCTTGGTTGGAGCCTAAGAGAATGGAGGAGGGCGTCTCTCTGGAGCCAGAAAGGTCGAGGGTCTAGAAATACAAAGAAAGATGGACTCAGGGCACTGGGGCCAACGGAGCCCCCCAGGGAAACCCAGGGAGTCCTGGGCGTGCTCACCGCTCCCCCAGGGCATCTCGGTGCCCTCCACCTGGCGTGGTCCGCGGGGCCGAGTCGGACAGGTGTGCGCACACCTGTGCTCTGGCTGCCAGACTCCTCCGGCGCGGGGTGGCCCCTCCCTAGCACTCCCGGCTGAGCTCGAGAACCTTCCCCGTGGCCTGCACCCGCTCGCTGGCTGACCGACCCAACCCCGCACAGGCTGCTGCACCACAGAAGGAGAAATGGATCCGCTCACGTTGGAAGCCTCTTGGGAGGCAGTACCATCCCCGAGACCAGGGTCTCCACTCATAATCTGACGATGACGGCCAAGTCCACAATGACTACAGACATGAAAGATGATCCCTGTGCCCCCTAAGATCGATGTCACGGGTACAGTCCATGGGGGATGAGCGGGGGGTGACCTTCATGGTCCAATGGGGCAGCGCCAGCCAGACGTGGCGATGGCATCTAAGTGAACTAAGGTCAGATTTAAAAATCTGACGCTCGGTCTCGTTCGCCTTCCTGAGTACTCCACAGCCGCAGGGGCTACTGGCAGCCACAGTGGGTGGGATCATCCCCATCACGGAGTTCTCCTGGACGCGCTGCCCTGAACTGGGAGGGTCCCGAGAGCAGCGGCCAGGTCCTGCACAGGCCAACTCGGCCTCGCCTTGTGGCCCGTCCACGGGGGCACGCCCTCGGCCCTGTCTTCTGTTCCAGACAAACCCAGACAGCATGGGACTTTGGTGGGTGGGACACACAAGGGCAAGGGTCTTTGACACAAAGGGGGGGTGGCACCGGCCAGGCACGGGGGGTCCTCACCGAGCTGCTGTCCTTGCTCTTCTCGGCTGACGGCTCCTTCTCTTTGGAGGCGCTGGTGGCGTCCGAGGCGGCTGGCTGGGCGCTGGAGGGGCCCCCCTGGGAGGGCTTGTTCCCAGTCTCTGCGTTCACCTCTGCATCCGCTTCCTGCTGAGGGGCAGTGGCTGGGGACAGAGGGGAGACAGGGAAGCCATGGGAAGCCAAGCACAGTGGTTTCAGGCCCCGCGTGGAGCCCACTCTGCGCCCCATGGCGCCAGCGGTCAGGCCCCACCCGGGGTCCAGTGCAGACCCAGAGAGGCCAGGCGCCCAGAAGTGTCCGAGTCGGGTTCCGTGAGAGCGCCTTGGCTTCCCAATCCTCAGCGACTCAGCCAGTCACTGTGGAAGGGAAGCGTGTTCTCGGAGCTGATGACCCCTGTCCTCAGGAGCCCGCCACGACTTGGAGGCTGGTCCTCCACAGCCCTGGACACTGGTTTCTGTCTGAGGCAGGTGGCAAAGACCCCTCAGAGAGCACAGAGCTTCTGAGGGCGGCGGGGACAGCGGGCGGCGGACAGTGACTCATATCAACCAGGCTTCACCGCGCCCCAGAGCCGCAGGACAGTGTGGCCAGGCTGCAGGGCCCACCAGGGGCACCTCACACTCCAGACACCAGCGGAGTGCCACGGAGTGCCGCGGAGTGCCACGCACGCCACGCAGCAGGAGTCTAGAGACTGCGAGAAGACATCCCGGGAGTCGGCCACCGGCTCTTATGAGTGACGTCTCGTCAGCACACAGCCTCAGATGTTCACTAGGGCCTTCAGGGTCTGCCGGCCCGGGACTGCCGCTTCTCAATCAGAGTCACTCACACGCCAGCTCGGCACGTTTTGCCAGACAGACAACCTTGTGGTTTTGATATGATATTTTCAGTGAATTCTTTGAAATGGAGACTTTTGGGGGTGGGGGAAGTGCTCCGGATGGCACCCAGGGTGCCCAACCACAAGCGGCACCCCAGCCCAAGACTTTCAATTCCAACCCCAAAAAGCCAGAGTCCTTGGCCACAAAAGCCAGCTCTAAAGATCCACTTTTGAGGCATTACTGAAAAGCCCCACGAGGCAGTCCTCCCTGCTGCGGCTCTCGCCCGAGGCCGGCCTGCTCCAGCTGGGGAGGGCTCCCGGCTGCTGCGGCGGCCTCAGCCACACAGGCCGGACACCTACACCCGGGCCCCCACGTAGGAATCCCCGTCATTTAGAGATGGGGTCTATTCTCACCCCCAAAAGAGGACCGACCCGAGTGCTGCTGACACCGGGAACGGCCCGCTGTCTTGGGGCTGCCCTGTGCCCCGCGGATGCCAAGGACCCTCCCCGCCCTAAGAGAAGACCAAAAGCCCTGCCCAGAGTCGGCAGCCAGGCGCCCCGCTCCCGCTCGCTCTCAGAACCCACACTGATCGGCCAACTGCCCTCAGCGCGGTTAGCGCACCCCACCCTGCCGCCCGGGGTGCGCGCTACCTGACTGGGTGCAGGACTTCATGTGCTCGGGCCAGTGGGCCTGCTGGCAGGGGTAGTCGCAGTAGCTGGTGTTCCAGCAGCAGTAGAAGATGGCCTCCTTCTTGCAGTGGGCACACCACTGCTTCTTCTTGGTCTCGTCCACCGCCTGCTGCTTCTCCAGCTCCAGCTGCTTCTTCACCTCGGCAATGAGCCGGTCCCGCTCCTGCTCCAGGCTCTGCCGCATCTCAGCCATGGTCAGCTCTGGGGGAGGGGCGGGGGCGCAGGCTGCATCACTGACCCCGGCTGGGACACAGGGTGGCTGCACCCCCACCCTCAGACAGGCAGGGGTGTGAACCCCAACTTGGAAAGGCCCCCACCAGCTGTGTGACTCTAGGCCCATAACACAGCCTCTCTGAGCCCAATCATCATCTGTAAACCGGGAATCCGCCATTCGGGCCTACAGAGCCATAGGTGACAGTGTCCGGGAGGTCCCCAGTATGGAGACAAGGAGACCAATGGTGATTCTCCACCCCACAGGACGTCACAGGAATTCCTCAAACAAACCCTTCAAGTAATTATTAGCATAGACTTTGTTTCCCTATCAGACACTTACACGGCTTCTACTATCCGCAGGTGTGGCTCGAAGCACTTAATTAATTTGTGGAACCCTTCTAATAATTCTGAGGGCTAAGGACTACCATTCTCTCCTCTCCCAGAGGAGGAAACGGGGTAGAGCAGGGCCTGGGACTCAGGGGTGTGTCTTGTGGCCCTAGATCCGAGGCACAGAGGAACTCCGGGGCTGATCACTGCGCTAGGACAAGTGTCAGGTCGCCCAGTAATGAGAGTTCTCTAGGTTTACATCAGGCCGTCAAGACCAGTCAGGCCGTCAAGACCAGTCACTTGAGAAAATAAGTCCACCTGCAAACCATTTGCAAGTGACCTGGGGAGAAATAAAGGAAAATGGACCATTGTTCAATTCCTGAAATACTCTTTCTGAAATTTGAAAATTTTTCAGAAAAATTGATCCCTAATAAGGAAGACAAACACAGCGGGGAGCTGGGGTGTAGGCCCGTGATCCCAGAGATGGGGAGGCTGAGACAGGAGGATCCAAGTTTCAGGCTAGCTCAAGAATGTAGCAAGGCCCTCATCGATTTAAAAAGACCCTGTATCAAAAATTAATGAATAAAATAAAAGGACAGGGCTGTGGCTCAGTGGTTGAGTTTAATCTCTAATACTCTAATAAGGGTCGGGGACAAAGAAAACCACCACGCGGTGGCAGATCTGAGCCTCCCAGCCACCCAACTGACACAGGGATTCAGGATACAGAGGAATGCAGACTCCACAAGGAGACAGCACAAGCCACTGAGATTCAGAAGGCACAGTTGCAAGCCCTGGCCCACGCCCTGTGAGATGAGGGGAATATGCAAACCCAGGAAAACCTGGGGGAAACTGTGTAGCCTCTCCCGGGCTCCCTGTCCAGCCCAGCTCGGACGCAGCCCCCTGTAAATGTCAGCCCCGGCGCAGGCCAGGGCTGCTCCCACTCTCGGGCAGCCTGTGCCCGCCCGTCCTGCATCACCCTGTCTCTGCCTCTGCCAGGCTTGTGCCGAGTCTTTTTGGCCATGTACCACGTGGTCCCCGTCTCCTCTGGGAGCCCTGCTGACCCTTCTCAGGAGACATCTCCTCGGATTTAATCACTTTTCTCCGAGCTGGCTAAGGCGATTCCTAAAGCAGCCCCATGTGGGGGGTTCTGTTGTACCCAGATTTCAAGTGAAGAGACTGAGGCACCAGCAAGTTACGGAGGAGTTGGAAGCTGAACCACTGAAGTCGGTGACCGTCCTTGGTAGCCTCAAAGGAAAGCAGGGTTCCCACCAGTGACCTCTCCGGGTGAGCCTCCCCAGGGTCGGTATGCCCACCCCTCTCAAGCACACAGAAATGGCGCGTCCCACTGGCCCAGCGTGGACTCTGTCTACTTCTGGGCCCAGCAGCCGGGACCCACCCAGGTTGTGCTTCATCTCGGAGAGCTCCTGCTGGTGCAGCCACTGCAGCTTCTCGATCTCGATCCTCAGCCTGCGGATCTGGAACGAGAAAAGCAGGTTCCGACAAGGCCCTGAGCGGGTCCAGCTGCTCCCCAGCAGGCCCCAAGAGCTCAGCCCCTCCTGACCGGAAGGGTCACAGGTGCCACGGGGCTGACTCGGGCAGCCAGGCTGGGCGCTGACCTTCCCCCAGCACTTGTCTGGAGACGGAAGCTCCAGGTTGACCCAAATTCACGAGCAATGCTGGCTCTGAAGACCAGCGGAGAGCACCACCTACCACGGAAAGACCCGGCACTAGAAAAAGCCACTTAGAGAGAAGGCACTGGGTTCAATCCCCAGCACCCCAAAAATAATTTTAAAAAATTTGCATTTTTGTCTAAGAAAATTTAATAAAGGTAGCTGTGACTTTTCACCTAATAAAACATCCTGGTGGAATCCATGAGTATTCATCTGAAATTCCAAAGCCCAACATCTCTGAAATGAAAGGGTATCTTGGGGGGAGGAGGATAACCCCGATTTGGACCAAATTGATTTAAAGGGAAGAATAAGCTTGGACTGAATTGATCTGAGGGTTTTAGTCATCAAGCGGTTTGGTCACACATGACAATGCCAATGTGGACTCACTTTGGTTGTCACAAGTGAGGATCACTACTGACACCTAGTGGCTAGACACCAGTGGTGCTGCGAAGGACAGCCCCCAGCACAAAGTCACAGGGGCTGAGGTTGAAAACTTCTGATTTACCCTCCAAGGGTGAACAACCTCATTTCAGTGCCAAAACCTCATGTCTAGTGGGCGGGGAGGGGGCTGGATATCACCCTCCAAAATGGGAAAACAGGTGCGGCCCCAATCTGACGCTCACCCCCAACCACAGGTGGGTTCCTTCAGAAACTGCCAGGTCCCCCTTCTTGCCTGAGCAAAGCCAAGAACTTGTCAGAGGCTGTGCATGGGACTCCCCACCTCCGCCCTCACCCCTCAGGACTCCGGAAACCCTGCCACCTGCACTCCACCTGGTGACCTGCGAGCTCCTGGCCCAGGCTGTCCTGGCCACACGCTGCCCCGGCCACACAGCCAGCAGCGCATTCTCCAGGTCTATCGGCCAGAGAGGGAATTCTGCAAACTGCACTAGAGAGTCCCTTTCCCAGGGGACAGTTGATGCTCAGCAGAAGTCTGAGGCTTCCCTGGGCCACCTGAGAGTTTCTGTGTGCAAATGCCGAGATCTCAACTGCAGAGAGGCCTACGGACAGACCAGGCGCTGATGGTCTTCCGTCTCACCCACGGACTGACTCCGGCTCCGATGGGGCTATCCGTCACACCTGGCCAAGGGGCACAGCTGCTGGCTGGGCATCGGGGAGGAAGTAGCCCGCCCACCCCTCAGACGGCAGGCCCGGGCAGCCATGCACCACGGCACCCTTAGAGCAGCCTCTAAGGTCCAGGGCCAGTAAGGAGTCCTGTCACCTCTGACCTCAGCGATTGTGCTTCCAGTCGTGTTCTTGGAAAGGTCGTTGTATATTTCTGTCATCGTCCCTTTTATGGCATCCATCATCTGGAAGGTAAAGACAGACCATCCAGTCACCATTGGCGGCTTCTCCAGGCCACAGAACTAACATGACGTGGAGAAGGCCGCCGTGACCGTGTCCCGCCCAGTCCCTGGTCCTCCTGCCCTGGAGACTGGTCCTCGACTCATGCTAGTTCTGCACCCGCAGACTGAGCCGGAGAGGCCCAACCGGCCCACAGGTGGGTCCTGCCTCACACGGCAGGTTTGAGGGAGAGGGGGTCTCGTGGCTGCTGTTGGGTTCTCTCTCCCTCTCTCTCGCTCTCTCTCTCTCAGGGCTGGGATTTTCCCGGGGCTCGTGCAGAGCAGGCAAGTGCTCTGCCGCTGACTTACACCCCAGCCCTGATTAATTCTCCTTTTAAAAACACGTTTACGAGGGAAGCTGAGGCAGGAGGATCACAGGTTAAAGGCCAGAGAGGGAGGTCCTGTGTCAAATTTTTTTAAAAATAAAGAGGCTCAGTAGTAAAGTGCCCCTGTATTCAATTCAATCCCGAGAGAGAGAGAGAGAGAGAGAGAGAGAGGAGAGAGAGAGGAAAGAGAGGGAGGGAGAGAGAGAGAATCCACAACATACCATGTAAACTGTATATTGCAATTTTATTGAAATGTAAATTTATTCATTTTTAACTTTTTTAAGTTGTTGCCAGACCTTTATTTGGTTTATTTATTTGCAGTATTGAGAATCAAACCCAGCGCCTCACACATGCCAGGCCACATCCCCAGCCCCTAATGCAGTGGCTTTTAGGGACTGAGGGGCCAGGGTCATAGCTCAGTGACAGGATAGGTCCACAGCATGTTTAACAGGCACAAGGGCCTGGGGTCAGTCCCCAGTGCACGCTCAAACATGCACACAAAACACCAATGGCTTTTAAAATATTTGAAGTGACTCATTCATCACTATAAATCAATTCCAGAGCATTTTCATTACGCTCCAAAGAACGCCCGCTCCCATGAGTCTCCACCCCTCCAATGTCCCATCCTGCACCTCCCAGGTCTCTGACAACCCTGGCCCTTTTCTGGTACTAGAGGCTGAACCCAGTCAGGGGCACTTTGTGGATTCCGAGCTCACCTCCGAGCTCACCCCCAGTCCACTTTATTTTTTATACTGAGGCAGAGTCTCGCTAAGTAGCCCTCGCTGGCCTCAAACCTGTGCCCCTCCCGCCTCGGCCTCACACTGCCGCGGTCACAGACGTGCCCAGCTGTCCATCAAACCCCAGCCTGCCCTCTACCCTACAGGTTTGCTTAGTCCCATCCTTTCCTGTAAATAAACTTGTGCAACACGCAGGCCTGGTGCTGGCTCGAGGCCTGCCCACCTGCAACGTCTCATGCCTCTGCAGCTGCCAGGTGGACATGGCCATTCGCCATTTTAATGCCCTCAGCCCGGGCACTGCCTGCCTACTCCATTCCCATCCTCTTTCCCTTTAACGAGTCTCTCAAGGCAGCGGTCAGCCTGTGAAGCCGGGCGGGGAGAGAGGGAGAGGGAGAGGGAGGGGG